GGATCTCTGTGAGTTCAAGGCCAGCCTGGTCTAGAGCTAGTTCCAGGACAGGCTCCAAAGCTACAGAGAAACCTTGTCTTGAAAAACCAAAGATGAGACAACAACCTGGGCATGGCTGCCTGGGAGGTGAAGGCAGGCGGAGCAGAAGTTCAAGGTCTTCCTCAGCTACAAAGAAAAATTGAGGCCAGCCTGGGTTACATAGCGACCGTCACCCCATTTATTCATTGTGTGTGTGTTCCACAGTGTAGGTATGGGGTCCGAGTGTATTTGCCATAGGTGCACTCTGAGGTCAGAGGATAACTTGGGGAGTCAGGGCTCTGGGCACTAAGCTCAGACTGTCAGGTTTGGCAGCGAGTGCATTTGCCCACCGAGCCAGCTCACCAGTCACTGCTCCCAGCATTTTTAGTTTAGTTTTCGTTTTTTATTTTTAATTATGTGTGTATTTGTGACCGTGTTTTAAGAAGAAAGGATATAAACAACTACCTCATAAGAATAACGGCTAAAAGCATACTGCCACTGGGGTGGGGTGACATCCAGAGCCATCTGTCGCCAAGGACCTTGTTACTGCAGCTGAGGTCTGTGCTGAAGTCCACGTCCTGTATTGCTACCAAAGGTCACATAGAGGCCCAACCATAGTCTGAACCATTCCTACCTGAGCGGCCATTCCTTCCACCCAGAGCCAGGATGCCATCTAGGCCCAAGATGCTGCTGAGGGCCATGTCTGGGTCTGTGTTGATGTCCGTGGCCTGTGTCACCTCAGGAGGCCTTAGGAACCATGCGAGATGAAATCAGAGGGCCAGGTTGAGCCGGCCATGCCCTTTGATGGCCCTGGGAAAGTTGGCCTTGTCTCTTGCTGGACACTAAGCAAGAGAGCTGGCCCTTGCACTCCCACCCCTCACCACAGGGGAGGCTGAACCAACCACAAGGGCATGCATGTAGGGGAGCTGACTTTGTCCCTTCTCCTGAGGGGTGGCCCCAGTAGCCTGGACTGATCAGCTCGGCTACCACCCAGGCCCACCCTAGCATCTACTAGATCCTAGAGTACCATCTAGGACCTGCAGGAGTGTGTGAAGGGACTGGTCCTGTGGACCGATACCTACAGGATCTCTAAGACTTGGGGCGGCCACAGGATGTCCTAGAGGCGTTCTGGTGAGGAGCCAGTGATGGTGGTGTACCAGAAAACAGAGGCCTTGAACCAGACCAGTGACTCACTGCATTGAATATTAAGTAAAGCTAATGGGACAAAGGGGTATACTGCATGATACACCAAAGTCCCATTGGAGAGACGGAGAGGTGGGAAAGAAGGAGAAGCAAGAGATTTTTGTTGTTGTTGCTTTTGTTTTGTTTGGGGGACGTTGTTTTTGCTTTTGCCTGCTTGCTTATTTTGTTTTGTTTTCTTTTGTGATGGGGCATGGCAGGGGTGAGGGGAGGATATGGGGGGATGGGACCGTGAGGTAAGCAGAATCAGGGTTCATGATGTGAAACTCCCAGAGAGTCAATAAAGAAGTTAAATTTAAAAAAAAAGAAAAAGAATAAAGGCCCAAAATCCCAGCACTTGGGAGGCAGAGTCAGGCAGATCTCTGAGTTTGAGGTCTGCCTGATCTTTAGAGCAAGTCCTGGGACAGCTAGGGCTACACAGAGAAAGCCAATGTTAGATCTGTCACCAAACCAAATAAATAAGAGTAAAAAAGTTTACCTCCCACCAAAACCTGTGAAAGCCAGCAAAGTGGCACCGCAGGTAAAGGTGCTTGCCCCTCAATCCCAACAACCTACATCTGATTCCTGGAACCCAAGAATGGTGGAAGAAACCACTCCGTAAAGATGGCCTCCAACCCCTACACACGCACCACAGCTCATCACCTGCAGTGCTCACCAACAGGAAAGAAAAAATTAAATGGACGTTAGCACCTGTGTCTCCTGTAAATCTCTAATGGAGTCAGGCTACCAATGGTGACCTGGATCTGTGCCACAGTCTGGGTGTAACCACAGGGTAATCAGTGACCTCAGCACTCACTCTATCAGAGGCCAAATATGTGAGCAACCTCCAGTACACTAAAGGAAATCATGACCAAACTGGGTGTAGTGACACACAACCATAGTCCCAAGTATTCAGGAGACTGAAACAGGAAATGGCTTAGGCCTAGAAATTTGAAGCCAGCATAGATAACATTAAGACTTACTTTTTTAAATAAATTTTTGTTTGTTTTTGTTTTGCAAGACAGGGTTTCATTGTGTAGCCCTAGCTGTTCTAGGACTCATTCTAAAGAGCAGGCTGGGGCTGGAGAGATGGTTCAGAGGTTAAGAGCACTGGCTGCTCTTCCAGAGGTCCTGAGTTCAATTCCCAGCAACCACATGGTGGTTCACAACCATCTGTAATGAAATCTGGCACCCTCCTCTGGCATGCGGGCATAAATGAAGGCAGAATGTTGTATACATAATAAATAAATAAATCTTTAAAAAAAAAACTCACAGAGATCCGCCTGCCTCTGCCTCCCAAGTGCTGGGATTAAAGGCGTGTTCCACCCCTGCCTGGTACTGTTTATTATTATTATTATTATTATTATCATTATCATTATTATTGTAACATTACACTGAAAACAAGATCCAGAGGTCAAGGCCAGCCAAAACTTGGGGGAAAAAATCTATTACAAACAAGAAAGTTAGAAACCTCGTCACTGACTGGCAAACAGTACTGGCACAGTAAGCTAGCCAAATCATAACCAGCTGCCCATCTCCATCAGAGCTTCCTTCATGTGCGTATCCTAAACACAAAGCAGAAAAGCACATACAAAGAAACGAAGACAACCCGATGACAGACTCCACAAAAAAAGGCCTGAAAGAAACTTAAGCAGATGCTCCATGAAACACTGATCAGACTTCACACACAGAGGTGTCATGCCTCATTTCAAACAGAATGTATTAAGTCTCAACTCACCACAGATACTCTAATAACAGCGCTGTGACATTCCTTGCTGAAGTCTCTTCTCTCACATTCTAATACCCTTGAGCCACCAGAAATGCAGTCGCTTTGCGATAAAATGCTAGAAAAACTCGCACATTGTCATTCCTTGATCACCAGCGATAGGCTGCTAAATCAAGAGTCTACTTGAAGTTATGAAAGCAGGGCAAGCTGATCCAATTACATAAGAAAAGTGCTCAATCAAACAGGACCATCTGGGCTTTGAATGTGGGACTTCTGAGCAAAAGTCAGCAGATACAATGTCCCAGGTAAAAATCCTTTCATACTCGGGCATGACAGCCTCCCCTCAGGGGACTCATTCGCTTGCAGGCCCAGCAAAACTTATGTGTCCTGTGCAGACACACGATCCAAATGACCAGATGACAGAACACTATTCACAGCAGTTCACAAGAACATCTGGATTCTCTCCTCGGCCCCAGGAAGACCCCCAAAGCTGTCATAACGCCCTACAAGTACAGATCCCTTTGTCTCCTCGATAGCAAACTAACAAGCCCATCATCCCCCATAACCTAAAGACTGTGCCCCAGTAATCTGAAAACCTAACCCTGCCAACCAGGCTTAATTTACAAGACGGGGGTGGGGGAATGGGGATGGAGGAGGGGAGACTAAAGGGATAAGCTTCATTAAGGGAAATTCTGATGGAAAACGAGATTCAAACATTATGATGCAGACAACTTCAGCATCCACAGCAGCAAACTAGCACATAGAAGGTTACCTGGAAGTATCCTGACATTGAGTTCAAAATTCTTGGAAGCGGCAGTTGGGGTACAGCTCAGAGGCAGAGACTGGGCTAGCCTGCTTGAGGCCCTGAACATGAACTAGTGAGCTAACTGGAGTACCTACCAGATCTTCCAGGAAAGCCCACATCCTCTAGCCTCTGGCCTCTCCACTTCTCACCGGGCACCAGCTCTGAGAACCTTCTTTCCTCAAAACAAACTTCTTCCCTAGGTCTGTCCCCTCAGTCAGCCTTTTCTTCCTCCCTCAGTTCCTCCATGGTCCCCCCTAACTGCCTGGGTTCCCCAACAGCTACATGCACAAGGACCACCAGCAACGGTAACCAGTTCTTTAGTGGAGGTCCTTTCCACTAGACCACAACTGTCGCAAGGCAAAGACTCAGTCAGTTTGTTCTCGGCTCTATCTCTACCATGCAGCACAGCGCTGGCACACTAGGGAAACTCCTTATTTTCCATGAGCTTCAAAATCACTTCAAAGGAAAACATATTTAAAAAAAAAAAAACTGAGCATAGCGGCACACACTTAAAGGCCAGCCTGGCTGGGCAGTGGTGGCACATGCCTTTAATCCTGGCAGAGGCAGGAGGATTTCTGTGAGTTCGAGGCCTACAAAGCGAGTTCCAAGATAGCCAAAACTAAACAGTGAAACCTTGTCTTGAAAAACCAAAAACCAAAAAGACCAAACAAAAAGGTCAGCCTGAACTACAAGACCCTGCCTTAAGAAAACAAAACAAGGGCTGGAGAGATGGCTCAGTGGTTAAGAGCATTGCCTGCTCTTCCAAAGGTCCTGAGTTCAATTCCCAGCAACCACATGGTGGCTCACAACCATCTGTAATGAGGTCTGGTGCCCTCTTCTGGCCTGCAGACATACACACAGACAGAATATTGTATGCAAAATAAATAAATAAATAAAAAGAAAACAAAACAAGGGGCTAGAGAGACGGTTCCACTGTTAAGAGTACTTGCTGTCTTTACACATGACCCAATTGAAGTCCAGCTTCCCCACTGGCCGGCTCACAACCACCTGTAGCTCCAGCTGGACGGACTCTGACAACCTCTTCAATCCTCCACAGGCATGTGTGAGCAACCATGCACACACATGCAGTTTATTCTTAATAGCTAAGGGCTGAGCTACAGTTCAGTTGGTAGACAAACTCTAAGTTGTGGTAATGTTTGGAAGCTTCGTCTATAAAAGACAGAAAAGTCTGACTCTGTATCAGGACAGGGCAAATCTATTTATCACTAATGGGGAATAATGACCAAAACAGATTCAAAAACAAAAGACGCATGCTCGATCTGGCAGCACAATATGCTAAAGTTGGAGCAATACAGAGAAGATCAGCATTGCCCCTGCACAAAAATGACATGAGAATTTGTGGAGTAGTCCATGTGTTAAAAAACAAGAACAAAACAACAAACAAAAGATGTAGTAGCATTAACAGTGTGCTACACTGGTTTTAAAAACTGTGTGCAGAGATGGCTTAGCCATTGAGAGCACACACTGCTCTTGCAAGAAGACCTGAACTGGATTCCCAGCATCTACATCAGGCAGTTCACAACCCCTGTAAAGATGGAACAAGTGAACTGAGCTGACGGCAAGCCAAAAAGGTAGAGCATATTATATACCCTTACCCCAATGGTGGGAACGGGACTCAGGGCCTCCTCCTTGTACTTGTTAGGCAACTGTCCTAGAACTGAGCTACATATAGTCTGTGGGTCCTGCTGTACAGCTCAAGCTAACCTTCAACCCATGCTAGCCTCAAATGCAACCCTTTGCCTCTGGAGTGCTGACATTGTAGGCATGAGCCAACATGCCACATAATTTATTTATTGCCATTTATTTAATATTATTTTATGTGCATTTGTATTTTGCCATTGATGTCAGGTCCTCTGGAACTGGAGTCACAGACAGTTGTGAACTGCCATGTGGGTGCTGGGAATTGAACCCAGGTCCTCTGGAAGAGCAGTCAGTGCTCTTAACCGCTGAGCCATCTCTCCAGTCCTGTATTACTTAATTAAAATATAAATTTTATTTGTTTTTTGAACAAAGGCCTTGGACTTGAACTCCTGATTCATCTGTTTCCACCTCCTCAATACTGGGATTATAAACAAGCCTCAACACAATTTAACATATAAAATTTGCAAACACCACTTTCACCTTTATTTCTCTTTTAAAAGTCGTGTGTCACCCAAAGGTGGTGGCGCACGCCTTTAATCTCAGCACTTGGGAGGCAGAGGCAGGTGGATCTCTGAGCTTGAAAACAGCCTGGTGTACAGAGCGAGTTCTACAGCAGTCAGAGCTATTACACAGAGAAACCCTGTTTCAAAACAAAACAAAAAATTGTGTGTCACCCAAAGGTGAGTGCACGCCACACATGTAAATACCCATAGTATCCAAAAGGTGAAGCTGGATCCCCTGGATCTGGAGTTAGTTGTGAGCCACATCTCAAAGTGTTAGGAACTTGGAACTCTGAAGTACTACAGAGTGAGGCCTGATCTCAAATATTTGTTGTTGTTGTTGTTGTTTTTTCAAGACAGGGTTTTCCAGTAGCTCTGGCACCAGTCCTGGAACTAGCTTTTGCTCTGTAGCCCAGGCTGGACTTGAATTTGCAGTCATCCTCAGCTTCCCAAGTGCCGGAACTACCACATCTGCCTTATATTTAACATTTTTTCAATATCTTTTTTTGTTTGTTTGTTTTTTCCAAGACAGGGTTTCTCTGTAGCTTTGGAGCCCGTCCTGGAACTAGCTCTTGTAACCCAGGCTGGCCTCAAACTCACACAGATCCGCCTGCCTCTACCTTGCAAGTGCTGGGATTAAAGGCGCACCACAACCACCCGAAATCAATATCTTTTTTTAAATTATTATTTATTTATTGGTTTTTCGAGATGGAATTCCTCGTTGTAACAGTCCTGGGCTGTCCTGCTCTGTGGACCAGGCTGGCCTTGAACTCAGAGATTTACCTGTCTCCGCCTCCCAAGTCCTGTAATTGAAAGGCGTGCAACATCATTGCCCAGCGACATTTTTCACTACCTTGTCATAGATAAGGCCAGTAAACACTTACTGGGACTGGGGGTGTTGTTCAGTGGTAGAGCACCTGCCTAGCACACATGAAGTCCTAGATTCAATCCCAAGCACTGATGGATAAAAAAAAAAAAAAAAAAAGGCAAAGGAAAGGTTGATATGTTCCTAACTTCAGCCTGTAAGGTTCATCGGCTCAGAGATATGGGAGCGAGAACACAGGAAGCTTGGAACGCCGTTTCCTCAGTGCCCTGGCCTTGCAAAGTTAAACAAATGCAATGAATCTACAGTTAATCACCAGATAAATGAAGAATTGCCAAAACATTGAGCGAAGATCTGCCTCTATTTCCCAGCAGAGCAGTTCCTGAGATCTACCAGTGGGCTTCACTTTGATGTGGAACGCCCCATGCACTCTAATCCAAGGCCCATATCCTGCAAGAGACAGTCAGTCATCCAGAACTCTGCCAGCGTCTGCTTGGGAGCTGTGTGGAGAACAGCTAACAAGAGCTTACTTTGAGAAAGAGATCGACAGTCACACTCCTAAGAAAAGGAGTCATTTGGCAAATGGACGCATGTCGCCAAAATGTTAGTCACAGCTTCAAGGTCCCAGTTTGTATCTCTGCAACTATTCTCTGCTTTGACAGAGGCCATTCTCTGGCTAAGAAACCCAGCTCAGCTTCTGTCACCCTCCGCATTTGAAGCAGTCAAGGATCCTTTCATTTTGGTGGCATCAAGCTGTGACACGGACAGGATGCCCACTAGAAGAGGGGAGGGTGACTTGCCACTGTCCACTTAGCCTAGTTGAAGCAGAACACTGGGAAAATGTGACAGGACAGGAAAAACTGAACATCATTGTGCTAAAGAAACAGGTCATTGCAATAGCCCCGAGCTTCTGTAAGTTAGAGCAAAATCCTCTGAAGAACAAAGTTTAAAAAAACCAGTCAGTGGTAGCGCGTGCCTTTATTTTTTTTAAACACAATTTATTTATTTATTAATAGCTTTGGTGTGAAGATGTCAGATCTCGTGGAATTGGAGTTACCAACAGTTGTGAGCTGTCATGTGGTTGCTGGGAATTGAACCCAGGTCCTCTGGAAGAACAGCCAGTGTTCTTAACCTGTAAGCTATCTCTCCAGCCCCCTAGCACGTGCCTTTAACCCCACCTCGGGAGACAGAGGCAGGGAGATCTCTGAATTCAAGCCCAGCCTGGTCTACAGAGCAAGTTCCAGGACAGCCAGAGTTACACAGGGGAATTATGTCTCAAGAAAACAAACAAAACGAAAACCCAGCAGCACACTATTCCACAGGTTTTTATCTCCAAATATGCGGGCACACTTCATGCCGGCAGCTCCTCCTAAAGCTGGCGTGAAGACGAGGGTTTCCTAGAACAGCCTGAACTAACAGCCCATGAACTTCAGAATTATTTGAGGGCAACAGGAATAACACACTCAAGTGTGCAGGGGAGCAGTTCAGAGGGCTAAAGTCGAGCAGGACTATGTGATGATATTCCCTTCTAGAGAACAGGGTTACTTTTCCTAAACTCCATAGTAAAACTCAAAAGCTACCCTCTTCCAATGTCCTTCCCTCCCCTGCATCTCACCTTTGCGGCCACAGCACTAATCGGCACCCACTAGTGTAAACACCATTTCTGATATCAAGAGTGAGTGCCCAGTCTTTGGCTTTGGCAAATCCACATCAGACCTCAGAAAAGCCATGACTCTCAGACACAAGGTGGAACAAGTTCACTTCCCAGCTAAGTGTTCAAAGCATCACAGCCTAAGAAAAGGCTAAAGCAGAATTTCCAAAGAGTGATAGATAGTAAAGCATCTAATCCCGTCGACAAGCATGGTCTCCCCTCTGCCAAGGCCACAGGTACCAAGTGAACCAAGGCACACGGCTCACCTCTCTAAAATACTCAATACTCGGGGACTCAGAAAATCAAACCCTGCCTTCTCGAAGTCACTAATGAGTGAACTCATTCATTTCCGACTCTAAGGTCCAGATCTTCCTCCTGGTGGTCACCAACACAGTAACATAAAAATGTTGACTATTAAAAATATTTAGAGATATAAGGATATTAGAAGATGAAAGATTATATGTTAAAATGCATAGAAATGCTGGGCAGTGGTGACACACATCTGTAATCCCAGCACTTGGGAGGCAGAGGCAAGCGCCTCTGTGAATTCAAGGCCAGCCTGGTCTACAGAGCAAATTCCAGTACAGACAAGGCAACACAAAGAAACCCTGTCTCAAAAAAAAAAAAATTAATAGCATATCTCAATCCTGTTTTTCTTTACACCACCGACTTCAAAGATCTAATTGGTTAACACAATCTTCTAGGGGAACAGATGGGACAGAGCTGTATTAAAAAGGAGGAAGAGAGTCTAATGATCTGTCTCAAAATTACATGTAAATCTATATTTGAGGTAGAGTACTAAAGTTCTCTTCTGGTCCAGAAAGAGAGAAGAGAGTAGCCAAAATCATGTAGCAAGTCAGAAGACAGAACTCTAAAGCAAATGTAATAGCATGAAAAAACGGAACGGGCCCGGAGAGAGATTAATCTAGTACTATTCAAGTTGCTTTAAAAATAAGAGTTCCGGCTAGGCAATAGGCACATGCCGTTAATCCCAGCATTCGGGTGTTCGAGGCCAGCTTGGTCTACAGAGTGAGCTCCAAGACAGCCAGGGCTACATAGAGAAACCCTGTCTCGAAAAACCAAAGGGGGAAAAAAAAAGCATTCCAGGGCTCGGGTGCAGCTTAGAGGTAGAGAGAGCCCTTGCCCAGCACACGAGTGGACCAGGATCAATCCCCAGCAGGGATGGGTGCAGATTCCAGCACACAGCAGCTTCCTCCCGCTTCTCGTTCCAATACTATCCTTCCAGAATATGTCTTCCTAATCACTCCTCATCAGTAACTCAACCGCACACACAGCCTACGTTCGGCGCCTTCAGATTCCCAGAGCCCCTCATTCCACACCCCTCCAACAGGAACCTCCAACTCCAGGAGCTCGCAAACGCATCTCAGACATCTCCCCGACTCCCTCTCCCCCACCACTCTCCACATCTCCTCCAGCCATTCCTGTTCACCTACACCAACACGAAATGTCACACCGCTCTCCTCAACTCGGAGCATCCCTGCTAATAATTACCTTTCCCAACAGGTCCTCCCTCCCTTCCCCATCTCCCCCTCTGCGCACGGCTCCCCTCCTTCCTCACCCAGAGTTGCCGTCTTACTCACCTCACCCAACCCTTCAGGATCTCTAATTTCCTGTCTCTCCTGCCCATTTGCCCGGTCCGCACCGGCCGCTCACCGCCGCCCTCCACTCGGACGGCCCACGCCCCCTCGCCAGGGTCTCCAGGCCCCGCCCCCAGGCCCCCTCTCCGCCTCAGGCCCCTCCCCCGGCGTCCCCTCCCCCCCCCCGACCCCCTCCCCGGCTCTCTCTCCCTCCCTCCCACTCAGGTCCGCAGGTCACCTCAGCGGCGGGCTCGGCCGCCCCGGCGTCCTCCCCACCTGGCCGGGGCTGCTCCTCCGTCCCCTGAGTCCTGGTTCAGTCCTGCCCGTTCGCCCCGCGGCAAGCTCTCTTCCTCGCCGCCGCCCCTTTTGCCAACCCGGAAATGGATCTGCTCCCACCGTCCCCAGCGTCCGCGAACAAAATGGAGGCGGGGGAAAAAGGAGGAGGCAGCCGGGCGCCCGGAGACGCGGGGCGCATGCGCCTGGGAAAGCCTGCCCTCTACCGGCGCACGTGGGGGCGGAGCGCCACCATCTTGAGAAGGTCGCCGGACGAGATCCGCGGTGAAGAGCCGGGTTTGTATCTTGGGCTGCAGTTGGGACCGCCTGCGAGGCTCTCAATGACTTAGCCACGCCAGATCTAATTGGTCAAATTCAGTCTGACCTTTAAAATTGCGCAGATAATTTTAACTTCTGGCCGACGGAGAGAACCACTGAGCTAACCGCTGTTTCTTAAATATGTTTTTTTCCGTGCACACGCGCGCAACATAAGCCCTTATATGGTCTGGATTTAAGGAAGACCAGGACTCCGCTACCCTTGCAGGGGCCCGGTAGCCGAGCTCCGGTTGTCATAGCAACAGAGAGGCACGCTTCTGCTTACACATCATCGGTTAGGTCATTCTGACCGCTGAACCTGAACATCCTCCTCAGGAGAAGGACCCCCAACTCACTGGACTGAGGGATGGGGTAGTGAGCTCCTCTAGATACTTGGATGCGAGCGAGGAATCCTTGTCCTCTGCTGGCTTCATTGCGAACTCTTGCAAATGACTAAGGGTCTCCTTCACACACAAAAGCTTGTCAGCACTCCAGGCAACCCCACTACTTCCATGTCTCACTGCTCCCTAGGTCAACCCAATGACCAGGACTGAAACTCATGTAAAAGAGCAGTACTGGGGTTTAATCCCCACTTACTGTGTGCTCTTGGGCCTCAGCTCCCTCCGTGTTTGTCCTTTTTCATAGAGTCCTTGAAGGCTCCTCGGGTAATGAATTGGCAAGCACGTGGTAAGCCTAAGCTGTTATTATTTTTGTTTTCCCTCTGTTCTGCCTTGAGTGTTGGGCACCACCCACTAGTCAACTAAATGTCACATTGCGTACCTGCTGTGACCATTCACTAGGCTAGGTAGGAGGAGCTGGTTCCAGAGGTGACTAAGACAGCGCTTCCGCCCTCTGGGAACTCACCATGCTGGGGCACAGCTTGGCATGTAAACAGCTAGCTGAGATCTCAGTCAGCATGTGATGAGTTGTAGTGACATGTGGGCTGGGATGGCACAGGAGTGACTAAGTCCTGCTGAAGAATGAGAGATTTTATTTTAATGATTTGAACTAGTCCTTGAACGATGAGTTAGAATTTTGCCAGGTGTGGTGGCGCTCAGGAAGCAGAGGTAGGGAGAGCTCTTGAGTTTGAGGTCAGCCTGGACTACAGAGCAAGGTCCATGATGGCCAGGGCTACATGGAGAAACCCCATCTCAGAAAACCAAAAAAAGAAAGATGAGTAGATTTCCACTACCGAAGAGCAAAGGCGAGGAACACTTGCCAGAAGGATCGGCGGGTGACTGGACGCACGCATGGGGCAGTGGATCTAGACTGCTTACCGGCCCTTCCTATCTCTTTGCTCACTGTTTCACCCGCCTCATCCTTAGTGGCTCGACAATTACGTGTATCTGCTTTCAGTTCCAGAAACACGCAATGAAGTTCCCACCTTGAGGCCTTTGAACGAATCATCCTCATCCCATCCTCATTGTCCAAGGCTTTGTGTCAGTGCTCCTCCAGAGGGAATTCTCCGTCCAGTACAGCTAAGTAAGCCCCTGCTCACTCATTACACCACTCTATGGCAAGGGGCAGCCACTAGGGCCAATACAGGGACATCTCATGTGGGGACATATCAATAATAAGCTTTATGAAGAAGGAAACCAAGAGGCTATCTCTCATTTTCTACCTGAAGTCTTTAGAAATGGGCCAGAGGAGGAAGGAAAAGAAAAGCGTTCCAGGAAAAAAAAATTATTTGAAGCAAAGAAAAAAAATTATTTCTTTTTTTGAGACAGGGTTTCTCTGTGTAACAGTCCTGGCTGTCCTGGAACTTGCTCTGTAGACCAGGCTGGCCTCAAACTCAGAGATCCACCTGCCTCTGCCTCCCAGAGTACTGGGATTAAAGGTGTGTGCTACCCAGCCAATTTTTTTATTTATTGTATATAGGGGGGGGGACACCATAGAATACGTGTGGAGGTCAAATTTTGAGGAACTGGTTCCTCTCCCATCATGTGGATTCTTGGGATCAAACTCAAGTTGGCCGGCTTGGTGGCCAGTGAGCTTGCGCCTTTACACCGAGCCCTCCCACCGGCCCCCCTTCCCGTAGCAACTATTTTGATGTAGAGAGCTAGAACTTAAAGGAGAAAGTAGGTTGTCAAAAGTAATTGAGGGGGGCTGGAGAGATGGCTCAGTGGTTAAGAGCATTGCCTGCTCTTCCCAAGGTCCTGAGTTCAATTCCCTGCAACCACATGGTGGCTCACAACCATCTGGAATGAAGTCTGGTGCCCTCTTCTGGCCTGCAGACATACACACAGACAGAATATTGTATACATAATAAATAAATAAATATATGTAATAAATAAAAAAATACATACATACTTTAAAAAAAAAAAGTAATTGAGGGCCAGGACGAGTGGCCTAGCCTTTGGGATGCAGAGGCAGGCCTGACTCTGTCAGTTTCAAGTCATGGGGCACATTGTGAGTTCCAGGCCAGCCAGGGATAAACAATGAGACTCCGTCTCAGACAACAAGAGGACGTGAAAGGAGGAGGGGGCATGTTGGACAGAAGGGTTCCAGAGGGAGTGGACGGGAATAAAAGAGGGGAAAGCGGTGATTCTGGCCAACGTGTTATATAGACGTATGAAATTGTCAAAAAAAACCCCATATTTTCAAAAAGAAACCTTAAGGTTTGACATTTATTGCAGTTCACCGTGTAGCAGTCATTGTCATAAGCTCACGTGCCGTCATAATCCATCTACTCCTCAGTTTTCTCAAGTAGTGATCGCACTCCCACTTTCCAGGTGAGGGAATGAGCCGCGCAAAGCGTAACCGTCTGCGTTCAAGCCACCTACCTACAAAGTAGTAGGCACATCTCCCGACTTTGTCTTCTCAGTGCTCACATCGGTGACTCCGTGCCCTCCTTTTGTTGGTAAATGAGTTGTTTTTATCTGCACGAGTGCTTTGCCTGCACATATGTATGTGAACCTCTTGTGGTTCCGGTACCGCTGGAGGTCAGAAGAAGGCATTGGATCCCCTAGAACTGGAGTTGCAGGCGTCTGTAAGCCACTATGTGGGTGCTGGGACCCAAACGTGTGTCCTCGATAAGGGCAGTAAGGGTTCATAACTGCTGAGCCATCTCTCCAGCCCCATGATTGCAGTTTTTATTAACTGTTTATGTATTTACTTATTTGCTTATTTATTTGAAGACAGGGCCTCACTATGTAGCTCTGAATGACCAGGAACTCACTATGTAGACCAGCCTAGTCTCCAGCTCACACAGATCCACCTGCCTCTGCCTGCCAGGTGCCAGGAATAAAGGTGTGCGCCATCAAACCCAAGCTTATGAGACCCTATTTTTTTTAAATAATAATAGTACCAATAATAATAGAGTTACGGAGATGGCTCAGTGGGTAAAATGCCCGCATTTGGATCTGAAGCACCTGTGTAAAAGCACTTGTACCCTCAAAGCTGGGGACACAAAAACAAGTGGATCCCAGGGTAGCCAGCTAGTCTATCCAAATCCGTGAGTTTCGGGTTCAGTAAGAGCTCCGTCTCAAAATATAATATTGAGGATGGGCGTAGTGACCCATACCTTTAACCCCGGCCCTATAGAGGCAGAAACAGACAGATCTCTGTAAATTCCAGGCCAGCCAGAGCTACACAGTGAGTCCCTGTCTCAAGTGGGAGAAGAACTCAATGTCAGATTATTCCCACGCCTAGGCACTTTGAAAAGTAGTCTCTGTGGTGACACCTAGTGGTTCAAAATGTCACTGCCTAAATTCCTTTCTCCTACTTAGGCTCCCAAACAGGGTTCTGGTTAGGCTGGTCCTTGGCCACTCCAGATTCTTTTTGTCATCTTACCATCCCAGGAGAACCTATGCTTCTGTTCCAAAGGGTGGATTTGAGACCCGGGGTGACAACTTGACCTCTCATTGCCTCCGTTTTAAAAAAGAAAAATTGTCTCTACCAGAAGATGATGGTTTATGCCTATAATTTCAACACTTGGGAAGTAGAAGCTGTTGGGTCAGGAGTTCAAGGTCATCCTCAGCTTCGTGGAGAATTCCAGATAAAAACAAAAGTCTCCCAAGTTCTCAAATTTCCATCTAGAGAGTAGAGTTGACAGAGCCAGCTCTGTGGGGTTTGCTGGAAAGATTAAACGAGAAACCGTGAACAAACCCTACAACATCAGTACTCGGAAGGCTGAGGCAGGAGGATTCAGACTTAGAGGCCAGGCTAGGAAAAAAAAAAAAAAAGCTGAGCCCAGGAATGGCAAAGGACATGCCCTGGAATGTCACCTCGTAAGTAATGACCTGATGGTTCTGAGAGCGGCTGAAATGAGGATGCAGGCGGGGCGAACTAGGTCACTTCTCTGCCCGCCCTGGGTGGGAGCACAGCAAACCCAGCATCCTCCGAGCAAGGGCAGAGACTGCTCCCCAGCCATATGATTGTTCTCCTTGAGTCCTGCTGGTCCTGTAGGACAGGGCCAGCCCTCCACACTGAACAAAGTCCAGTTCCTGAGTGACTCCCAGCACTCTTCTCTGGCTGTCGATGGTGGGAGATGCATGCAATCCAGCACGCAGAAGCTGGGGCAGGAAGATGGGGAGTTTGAGACCAGCCTTACTACATGAAGAGACCCTGTTTTCAAAAACCAAAGAACCAAACAATAAGAAGAAAACAACCCTAGTTTTGCTTTGGGCTCCTCTCTCTCTCTCTCTCTCTCTCTCTCTCTCTCTCTCTCTCTCTCTCTCTCTAGACAGGGTTTTTCTATGTAACAGCCACAGCTGTCCTGGAACTCACTCTGTAGACCAGGCTGGCCTCTGCCTCCTGAGTCCTGGGATTAAAGGCGTGCGCCACCACCACCTAGCAGGCTCATCTCTTTAAAGGAATTTTTTTATTTTCCCTGCTCCTTATTCCCAGACCAACAATGATTCTCCTTGGCTCAAGTCCTAGAGCACTTATCATCTTGCCCTGGGTCCGGCCCCTCTGGTTCCTATTACAACCAACTTAATTTATTCATTCAACAAATATGTATTGAGTGTCTGCTCCATGCCAGCTACTATTGCAGTTACAGCCAGTGAGCAAGACCCACTCCCAGGGATGATCCATGCTGGTGTGGGAGGCAACCACTAAGCGAATACACAAAGAAACATATGTGATGTCATGAGCGGGGCATGCCTTGAGCCAACTGGGAGAGCAGAGTATAGGGCGGGTTTTGTCTGGGTGATCCAGTTTGGCGTAGGGAATGGAAAAGGCGAGATCTCTTTGCTAACAATGATTGCAACAAGGACAATCCGGGGTGGCCAGAGTAGAGCGAAGGACAGATAAAGGAACAAGAGATGTGACCAGGGAGGAAGGAAAGGGGATATAGCGAAATGATGTAATTATATTTTAACAATAAAAAGAAATTAACTATGAATGTATAAATGTGAATTGGTTTGTCTTTGAAGAACTTCCATCCTCTAAAGTAGAAACAAAGTAAACTCAACTAATTCCACAGTAATGTGTTATTTACCTTCTGAGTTGTTTTGGCTGATTGCTAGGTCGTCACGTGGTCATATTCTAGCTAGTATTCAAAGCCACTTCCTTTTTGATTTATTTTTTGTTTTGTGTAGAGATAGGGTCTCATTATGCAGCCTTGGCTAGCCTGGAACTTTCTGCATAGAACAGGCTGGCTCTGAGATCAATCTGCCTCTACCTCCAGAGCGCTGGGATTAAAGATTTACAAAACATACACATTTTACATGAACAGCCCACGTTTGTGGTCAAAGGTTCACAGTTTGGGATGTTTCTATTACTCCAGCAGGCCCCAGCACGACCATAGGAATCCGCAGTTCCCCTCACTGAACACCACCTTCTTTTACTTCTCTCCAGAATGGCCTCAAACTCAGAGATCTACCTGCCTCTGCCTCCCAAATGCTGGAATTAAAGGCATGTGCCACCACCACCAAAAACACTTTTGTGTGGGTTTGTATTTCCCTGTGTTGTGTTGCGTGCGTGCGTGCATGCGTGTATGTGCATGAGTGTGTGTATGTGTATTTTTATTTTGGGATGAGTTCTTTCTCCATAGTTCAGGCTCACCTTAATTTATGACCTTTTTTGCCTCAACTCCCTGGAGTGCTGCAATTCTACGGGTATGTCATCGTGGCCAGATTTTCCTGTGGTGGATGTGCATCTGTGTTCAGGTGCATTTGCATATACACATGAAAACAGAGAATAGAAGAGACTGTCAAGTGTCCTCTATTGCTCTCCACCTTATTCCTTGAGACAGGATCTCTCACAGAGCCCGAAGTTCACTGTTTCAGATAGGCTGACTGGCCAACAAAGCTCCTGAGAACTGCCTGTCTCTGCTCCCCAACACTGCCGATAATGGGGCAGGCGGACAGGTGCAGCTTTCGTGTAGATGTTGGGGATCAAATTCAGATCTTCATGCTTGCATAGCAAGTGGTCAAACCCACTGAGCCGTCTCCTGAGCCCTACACACAGCTTGCTCGCTTATTTTTTTGTCTTTGTTTTGAGATAGGGTTCACTCTTTGGCCTAGACTAGAATAGCTCTTACTCTGGGGCTCAGGCTAGCCTCACCCCTGTACAAATCCTCCTGTCTCAGTCTCCTAAGAACCCTGATAACAGGTATGAGTCACCTGCCTGTTCTTTTCCTTAAGACTTCTTTTTTTTTTTTTTTTTTTTTTTTTTGTTTTTTTTTTTTTTTGTTTTTTTGAGACAGGGTTTCTCTGTGGCTTTGGAGCCTGTCCTGGAACTAGCTCCAAAGGAACCAGGCTGGTTCCTTAAGACTTCTAATCGTAAACCAGGCGATGGTGGCGCACGCCTTTAATCCCAGCACTCGGGAGGCAGAGGCAGGCGGATCTCTGTGAGTTCGAGACCAGCCTGGTCTACAGAGCTAGTGCCAGGACAGGCTCCAAAGCCACAGAGAAACCCTGTCTCGAAAAACCAAAAAAAAAAAAAAAAAAGACTTCTAATCGTGCCAGGCGGTGGTGGGACATGCCTTTAATCCCAGCACTCAGGAGGCAAAGGTAGGTGGATTTCTGCAAGTTTAAGGCCAGACTGGTCTACAAGAGCTAGTTCCAGGACAGCTAGGGCTACACTGAGAAACTCTGTTTTGAAAAACCAAAGGAAAAAAAAGAGATTTTTTTTTAATGATTTATTTATTTATTATATACAAGTGTGCTGCCTCCATGTATGCCTGCAGGCCAGAAGAGGGCGCCAGATCTCATTACAGATGGCTGTGAGCCACCATGTGGTTGCTGGGAATTGAACTCAGGACCTCCAGAAGAGCAGTCAGTGCTCAGAGCTCTTAACCTCTGAGCCATCTAAGAGAGAGATTTCTAATTGTGCGTGCTCACCCTCAGGTCCTCTGGAATGAGCCACTTAATGTGGGTGCTGGGAACTGAACTGGAGTCCTCTGTGACGGCAGTATGTGTTGTTTTTTTAAAAAAAAAAACAAGTTATTTTATTATCTTTATGAATATGGATGTTTTGTCTGCATGTACATCTGTGCACCATGTACATGCCTGGTACCTGTTGAGGCTAGAAGAGGGCATCGGATTCCCTAGGACTGAGTGAAGATGGAGCTGCCACATGGCTTCTGAGAATCAAACCAGGGTCCTCTGGAAGAGTAACCAGTGTTCTTAACCACTGGGCCATCTCTCTAACCTTGTCTTCTCTTTGTTTTCCTTTTCTACCCCACCCCCAGCACTGAGGAACTGAACAAGTGCTCTACCATCAAGCTATACCCCCCAACCCCTCTGGAATGTAATGTGTAGCTGAAGCTAGCCTCAATTTGCACAACCTTCCCTGTTTCAGCCTCCCAAGTGTTGTTGAATTCCTCACCATAAAGTTGCCGCCATCACCTAAGTGCGGTGGTCCACGGCTGTGATGTCAGAACTTGGGAGGGGAGGTTCGATGACTGAAGGTTCAAGGCTAGACCAGATAGTGAGATTGTCTCACTAAAGAAGAAAAAAACAACCATAAAACAAAACAAAAAAGATCCTTCCATGATTACGATTATGTGTCCCGGACTAGTTTCTCTTGGGTGTGCACCCTTGAGTGGAAATGCGCGGTCATGTGTATGCATTAGTTACATAACCTAGTTTTAGCAGATATTGCCAGTTTTCCAAAGTGGTAGGACCTGTTTACACGCCCACCAGCAGCATATGAAAGTTCCAGTTGTACCCTGGCATAGTGGCGCGCGCCTGTAATCCCAGCGCTTGGGAGGCTGAAGGAAGAGGACTGATGAGAAGAGGCCAGCCTGGGCTACACAGTGAGACCTTGCCTCAGGAAAGAAAAAGGTCCCCATCGTCACTGGGACAGGCGCCGCCAGTCTTTTTCCATCTCAGCTGTATGCAATGACACTATGGTTTTAGAAAGACTGTGTGGGCTCAGTGTAGAGACCTGACTCTCGGCAAGTAAGAATGGGCTGGAGACAAGGTGCTGCCGGGCTGGCAGGAGGTTAGTCTTGTCATCCAAGAATGCTGGGACTGGCTAATAAGAAGAGGGAGGCTAGGCATCACAGTGCACCCTCTTCATCCTGGCACTTGGGAGGCAGAGGTAGGGGGACCGCTGTGAGCGAGACTACATAGTGAGTTCCAGGCCATCCAGGGCTGTACAGTGAGACCCTGTCTCAAAACCAAGCAAGCAAAAAGATGGGCGAGGACAAGTGAAAAGAGATAGCTAGGGTAAGGTCTAGATAATTATTTCAGATGGGGTCCAGCTATGCAGTTCTTAGACCTCTCTATCCTGCCACCATCATCCAAGTGCTGGGATTACAGGCATGCACTGCCACACCCAGGTAAATACTAGACTTTATCAGTGTGTTTGCGTGGGTGTGTGCATGCAGAAACCGCAGAAGGTGCGCATAGGTCAGGGGACAATCTGTGATGTTCTCTCTCTCCTTCCACTGATACAGCAGGTATGGAAATAGGCCATCAGCAGGCTTACAGGGCAAGCTCTTTGCTCTGTCAGCCATCTCACGGACCCCTAAATTCTAGGATGGGAACACAAGCAAAAACAAAGCAAAGCTGGGAGAATAGAGGACTGCTTTCTGATATCAAGATTCAGGGAGAGTTAGACAAGCTAAGAACTCACACAAGCCTATGTGAATGGGTCTGAACAGGAGACACTGTGCTACCTCGAGAATTAACCCAGGCTCAGTGTGCCTCTGACTTGGCAAGACTGGTAGCTGCCGGCTGCATGAAAAGTTTGTACTGCCTGCAGCAGACAGACCAGGGCTAGCATAGTAGGCCTGCCTCATCTAGCCCTATAACTTGGACTTCATGCTGGGCCTACTCAGCCTCCACCTCATTCCTCGCAGGGTTAGAAGTGCGATCACATAGCAACGTGACCCAGAACAGGTGAGAACAGAAACATCTCCTGAGTTCCAGACACCAGACACAGATCTTGGGAGGTTGGCACCTCCTCCTCCCACTCACGTTTTCCAGGTCACTCTAGACAGCCCTGCTGAGGAGCCTTGAGTGCTGGGAAGGTGTCCCCTGTTCCCTCTCCCAAGCTCAGCCCTTCCCCCGAGTTTCAGAGAAGCACTGGAAAGCACTGGGAGGTTGATTGATAGATTTTAGTGTATTTTCTCTATCCAGCGGTCTCTTCCATGACAGCGGGGCCTGTACAATGCACACGGTTCAGGTTCACTCTGTTAAAGCTACAGGGTTTGGGGATGGGGGGCCCCTGAGAAACAGTGGGGCAAGCATCACAATCAGAGGCAAGCAGCAGCCAAGGTGTGGGGGAGGCAGCGTTCTTGGAGGCTAGGGAATGAGAGAAGGCTGATGAGGGGTTACTGAAGAGGGGCAGGAAACCTGGGCTGCAGGGGGAGCAGCCAGCAGCTGAGCGGAAGAAGCAGAGTATGGGATGGTATGGTCACCACCGCCATTATGGGCTGGGGGCGGTGGCACGATCACCATCACCACTAGAAGCTGGGGGGGTGGCATGGCATGTCTGTGGATATTTCGACAGGGGCTGCTGTATAAAAGGGAATATATAACATAACCTATAATACAATGTTTACATATGATACAAGGTTCTTTCCCTCTTTGGGTTTTAAAAAATAAATGTACAATTCCAGAGCTTTGGGTAAAAATCTATATACACTCCCAGAGCAGGAGCTGCAGCTGATTTCACCGCTGCCGCAGTCGCCGCTGCCTCTTCAGAAGGGCCAGGAAGGAGGGGGGAGGCTGTGCCAGGAAACCCCGCCCAGTAGCTGCCAGGAGCCCTTGCCACCCCTCAGCCCTGGAGCCCATGACGGGAGAGGGAAGGGTGCCGGGAGAGGTAACAAAGGCCTTGCCAGAGCCCAGCTTCGCCTCTACAGCTGCTGCAGTCTCTCCTCCCCACTTAGGGAGGCGCTAGCTGCCCTAGGTACTGAGATCCACCCCTGATTCTAGAGACAAGGTGTGTGTGGGGGTGGTAAAGACAGATGGACAAACTGTGTGGTTGGTGACAGACACAGAGCCAGAAGAAGGATGACAACTCCCTCTTTAGCAGTGAGACACCCCCCAAAGCAGACAAGAATGGAGAACAGGCGCCCCTAACTCCTGATAACCACTGCATTCCACCCACAGTAAGGCAGAGGCAGGGTCCTGCAGGGCAGCATAAGCCTGTGTTTCCCTGAGCATCTTTTAGCCTCTCGCTGGGAAGCTTGGGAGGGGGATTTGCAAGGGCTGATGGGTAACTCTCCTGCCTTCTGCTAAGCCCTGCCTGCAGGAAACTGACCCACAGTTTTCACATGCAGGACAGCAGGTGGAGCTGGACAGGGAGTGAGGGAGACATAGTCAAGAAGGGTAGCACCAAACAGAAGGGATCCTCAAAAAAACAAACAACACAACAAACAAAACCCACTCTGATACTCTCCCTACACTATCAGATGTACTCTTGCTCCCTAAAGGGAATATATAAATCACACACACACACACACACACACACACACACAATCTTGGGGGTGTATATCCAGGGATCTCAGCCCTGATTAGGGGAAGTGAAACAGGTGTCAGGGAGGAAGGTTTCCAGTACCCCCACACCACAGCTGCGATCTGGGAGGGGGTGTTTCCAGTGCCCCCATACCACAGCTGCGATCTGGGGGAGGGGTGCTTCCTTCCTGCTTGGGAAGTGGAGCCTAGAAACTCCATCTCTGGAACAGACCACACTGGGAGGGCACAGGGGCACTCCTCGTCTCTTGCCTTCCAGAGAGGTCAGAAACCAGGAGTGTGAAGGAGCAAGGTAAGAGGACCTCAGCAGGATGGACAGACAGGCTTACACATTCTGGTGGGTCAACCCAACTCCTCTATGTAGGATAGGAAGCGGCTCCAGGGAAAAGATGTCTGGATGTGGGCTACTGAGGGCATCGTGCAAAGTGCTTGGGTGCCGGGTGCCAGGGACCCAGGTGGGGCAGCCGGGCCCTCCACTCTCACTGGCTATTAGCCTCCAGCTTGTAGGAGAGCTCGAAGAGGAGGTTCTGGTTGTCGATGACCTGGAACTGGCGCACGTAGGCCTTGGTCTGCAGGTGATGAGGGGAGGCCTCCATGTCCAGGCCTGGGGGGTAGAAAGGGAGAGGTGTCAGCTCTCAGCTTCCCTTTACCCCCTACATGCAATCCAGGCAGGCCAGGGTGAGGGGTGTGAATGGGAACAGGTATTGGCAGGAAGCCCATGGAAGATGAAGAACGGACCAGTGTCACGAAACAGACACTTGAGCATGGAGTTCTCCCAATCCCTCTCCTCTTCCACAGTTCTACTGGGAAGCTCACTGAGTCTTGGGTACTCACAGAGGGGCCGGCTCCGGTATTTTCGGATTGTCCTCACTTTCTCAGCCACGGAATGCTGGAAGATGACAAGGAATTAGCCCCGAAAAAGGCACAGGCAGCTGCTTCCTTCCCCCTTCATTCTCAACTGAGTGAGTTCTCCACTCTCCAGTGATGGGGCCTCTGAAGGGCCAAAGGCCAGGTAATAGCAAGGTGCCAAGGGAGGGAGGGAGAATTGCCCCCAGCTGCCTGTCAGCGTTGCCTCTTGTGGGTGGGTTGCCACAGTGATGCCACCAGGGAGACAGTCTGGAGTCTGTCAGGCAAGCTGAGCACCAGACAGGAAGGCTGCTATTTTGGGGGAAGTGACAGGAGAGAAGGGAAGGTTGGACGCATGCGGCCCCTCTCTCCTAGGACAGGGGCTGGCAGTACCACTCACCAGCTTCTCAATGTTCACCAAACCATCCACGAGGGTCTTGCTCCCCTCATGCAGGAAGGTCAGATCTAGGGAACAGGAAGACAGCTAATGTGAGGGTAAAATAGGCAGAAGGAACCCATACCACCCTCCAAGACACATGCAGGCCGGGGGCGGGGGGCTCTCTGGAAGTAGGTACTCACAGCTGAATTGAGAGGGGGCTCAGAGGCAGGCCTGGGGTGTGGGAGAAGGGGCTGTGGGTAGGAGCAGCGCAGCACGGGAGGGACTGACCTTTGAGGATCAGGGGCACGAAGGGAATCACAGGGGGCTTCATTTTGGAGATGATTTCTCTGTAGCTTTTATGGTTCCGGCAGGGGTCCTAGCATTCCACAGAAGGAGCAGAAACAGATGGGCCCAGTGTACCCCTAGAGATGTCGTCTCCCCTTCCCTAGGGGCCGAGGAAAGCCAACCCCACTCACCGTCAAGTTCTCAAATTTGCGGAACAGGTTCTTGAATTTCCCTGGCAGCTTCTGCAGAGAGTTGAAGGAAGAAAAAAAGAAATGTCAGGGTGGGCAGAGCTTCTTGAGTTTCACAGCAGGAGCATGTGACTAGTCTTCCGTAGAGGGTTATGGGCTTACACATCTTGCGGTGGGAGAAGCAGCTAGCAGGTGAGGACACAGAATCAGTCCTAAGAGTAAATCAGGGAGTTTGAAACTGCCTGGGGAAGGATTTATTCTGGACAAACTGAGACCTTTGCCTAGGCAGGTGCCATGTACAAAAGTACTCCCGTGAGACCACTGAGACCCAGAGGATGCTCATAGCAAGGACACCTCAGCTGGGATTCTGGCTTTTTACTAATTTGCAAAGACATGAGCAAAGCTCTGTGTCCTGAGTAGCAGAAGCCAGAAGAGGGCAGCTGCTTTCCATTAGCACAAAGATGCCCCACAGAGCAGCAGCAGCAGCAGCAGCAGCAGGATGCACTAGAAAAAGCCTGAGATGCATGCAGATCCTGAGGTGGGGTACTGGGTCTGGCACTGTGGGTAGAGAAGGGAGATGTCGCCTCACCTCCCAGGTGAGCCGCAGGCGGCTGACGGCAGCATTGTCCAATCCCATGACCACAGCATAGAAGGACAGGAGGTCCTGGTTCTGCTTGCAGCTGTGTGGGAGGGAGGCGAGGTTAGGGGGCTTCGGGGAACTGTGACCTTCCCCGTCTCCACCAGAAGCACTCACATGGCGGCGATCTTGATGAACTTCTTGAGCAGCTGCACCCGCTTGCCCGGGGCCTCACAGAGCAACACCTCAGTGGCCACCCAGTGAGTGACCTCACTGCAGCGCTGCAGCAGCAACTCCAAGTTGGCTGTCTCCCTGCGACCACGCTCCCCGTGGAACACATAGTCCACGAACTCCAGCTGTGACCACAGTGGCAGAGGGGAGGCCAGGGTGCCAGCGGGAAGATGGCAGCACAGAACACACGGAGAAGGAAAGGCAGGAGTGAGTGGGCATGGAAATGGAAAACCAGGGACAGGGCAGCATGTCACAGAGACAGATGATGCTAGCGCTGATTTCTCTCCTAGTGAGCAGGAGGTACCAGGCACCTGCTAAGATCTGTGTGGTTCTCCCTCTAGGAGACACTCATCCCTGCCTTTTTTCTATCTCTCTTTTTAAGATTTTATTTTAGAGGCTGGAGAGATGGCTCAGTGGTTAAATCACATATTGGTCTTGCAGAGGATCAGAGTTCAATTCCCAGCACCCATGTCAGCAGTTACTCCACGGAATCTGATATCTTTAAGGCCTTGTACACAGAAATATACAAGTATAATAAATAATATAATAATAAATAACAATAAAACTATTCTTGAAAACATTTTATGGGGGGGGGCTGGAGATATTGCTGAGTAGATAAAAATGTGTACTGATCTTCCAGGAAACCTAAATTCGGTCCCCAGCACCCATAAAAGATGGCTCACAACTGTCTGTAATTCTAGCTCCAGGGGGACCTGGTGCTTCTGGCCCGTGGTCACCTGCACTCACATGTGTGCATGTATGCATGTACACACATGCACACTGCACACTCAGACACAGTTAAAAATAAAATAAATTTTAAAATTGCTGGGTGTCATGGTGCACACCTTTAATCCCAGCACTCAAGAGGCATAGGCAGGCGGATCTCTATGAATTTGAGGCCAGCCTGGTCTACATAGTGAGTTCCAGATCAGCCAGGGCTACATACTGAGACTGTTTCAAAAAACAAAATTAAAAAATTAAGACTTGCCAGGTGGTGGTGGCGCACGCCTTTAATCCCAGCACTTGGGAGGCAGAGGCAGGTGGATCTCTGGGAGTTCGAGGCCAGCCTGGTCTACAAGATCTAGTTCCGGGACAGGCACCAAAGCTACAGAGAAACCCTGTCTTGAAAAACCAAAAAAAAAAAAAATTAAGACTTTAATATTTATTTGTGTGTGTGTGTATGTGTATGTGTGCACCGCACATTCATGCACAGGCCAGAAGAGGGCATCAGAGCCCCTGGAGCTGGAGGTCCAGGTGTTTTAAGCCATGGTTATGGAGCTGGAAATCAACTCTGGAAGAGCAGTAAACACTCTAAACCTCTCAGCCAACTCATGCATTTTTTTTGTTTTTTTTTTTTTTGTTTGTTTGTTTGTTTTAATTTATTTTATGTGCATTGGTGTTTTGCCTGCAAGTAAGTCTGTGTGAGGGTGTCAGATCTAGGAGTTACAGACAGTTGTTAGCTGCCATGTGGGTGCTGAGATTTGAACCCTGATCTTCTGGAAGGCAGTCAGTGCTCTTAACTGTTGAGCCATCTCTCCAGTACCCTTGTTTTCTGTTTTGATTCGGAGTTTTCTGATCTCAGGCTGGCCTCCAAACCATCATGTAGCCCAGGATAATCTGGGTCCCTCTGCCTCCACTTCCCAAGTGCTGAGACGACAGGCATCCACCACCACAGCTGGTTTATTCAGTGGTGAGGATCCAGCCCAGGGTTGTGCATGCCAGGCAGGTCAGGTACTCTACCCTCTGCTTGATAGTAAACATTTCTATGAATCCAGATAAGAATTTCAGTTCAGCGCCTACGCAGGCAGCACCTGAAACTCCCTTCTGTAGAGGCTCTCTGCCGTTCCCCAGATGAGGGGCCAAAGGCTAACAAAGGTTATCCCTGTGCACTGGTCCCGTGTGTGCTCCCAGGAGCAGGTTTCGTGCCCCCTCCCTGCCCAGCACCAGCCTCAGTCCCACCTCGTGCACGCAGCGGAAGAGCTCCCAGTGGAAGGCAGTAAGATGGTTGGCAACATCTTCGGGCTCCACCCGGTGGATCTCTGTGTCTCCAGGGGAGACCTGGATCTCCTCAGGAAGGGGTACCTGGTGGCAGATGGGGTTAGAGGAACTTGGCTGCCTGTGGTAAGGTGAGAGACTTGCTCTCAGCCCTCCCACGCCACCCCTCCGCCAGCTCTTGTTACCAGCCAAGACAGGTGAAGGAATTCTTACTAGGGCCTCATAGCTGTCCCGGGTACAGGCAAATAGGTGGCTGTTGATGCCCAGCGTAGTGAAAACACAGTCCTCTGTCGGCTGCAGGAGGACCTTCTCTGCATAGGAACAGGCTGTTCAGCTTTGGCCACCCACATCCCTCATATACCTGAGCCACCATCGCCCTATGCTGACATACCCTGGACTAGTGGTGGCTTATCGTCACCAGCTTATACCACAGGTATCAGAAATAGTTGGTCAAATGCTTTCTTTTGCATTTGTAGACTACCCCACATGTAGGTCTCTCTCATTCCCTCATCTCTATGAATAGGGTGAATACTTTTGTTAACTTTATGGAAAATAAGTCATGCCTGAAGTCCTGTCCTGCCACTTGAAAGGCTGAAGCAGGAAAGACTGCAAATTCTAGACCAGTCTGGGGTTACACACACACACACACACACACACACACACACACACACGAGCTATGCTACCTTGCTGGCTCTCTGCCTCCTCCCCACAGGATTAGAGCCTACCCTATGTCCTCAGCCTGGAAAAAAAGAAAGGGAGCATATGAGATGGGGGGAGGTGTGTGAGAAGGACTGGAACACAGTCTCCAGGTGGGTACTAGGTAGCACCCAGGACAGAAACCAATGATTCTAAACTGGTGTGCCCCAAATTTAAATGTGCATAGGATCCCCTGAGTGGGAGAGGGTCTGGTCCAAATGCAGATTCTAATCCTGTAGGTTTGGGGTAGGGTCTCCTAGGTGATGCATTCACCAAGGCTGGACACTTTGAGTATCAAGGATCTAGAATTTAGCATTCGCCCCTGCCTAGTGTGCTGATCCTCACCTCCAGAGGAGGCAACAGCTACCAGGATGAGGGCATCCTCTCGCTCGGCAGGCTCTTCTGAGTACTGCAGCTTCTCTGTCACAGAGCCCAGAATGTCCTGCACGGACGCGGAGAGGCGGCTGCGTATGGTCACGTAAGAGTGGTCAGGCATGTAGACTCTACAGAAGACTGCACAAAGACAGGAAAGGAGACTCCATTGAAGGTGAAGAAGGCCCACCCACCTCCCTGGGCCACTCCAGAAACTTTGCTCTTCCTAATGGCCATACTCACTCTCATCTGACCCCCGGAAAGCCACTCGGGTCTGCAGACAGGAATCTATCCGGCGGAAGTGGCGGAAGAGTGGCTTGACCTGCTTGCTGGGCGGCTGGCTCTCCTCCGGAATCCTGGTATGAACACAGTCATGCATCAGCAAGTCCTGCCAGGCACACAGAGCACCCAGCAGGACCATAAAGCAGGGATAGGACAATCACCAGCACAGGACAATTGTCTAAGTGCCCCAAATCAGATGCCACCTCTCTCAGAGACTCTTCGCTGGTCCACCCACCCACGAGGAAATGCTACAAAACAATGAAACAATATTGTATATGTTCATGTCATCTTTTCTACAAGATTGACAGCTTTTGAGGAATGGGATCAGTTTTTACTGTTTTTCACCCTTTAGGTCCTAGCACACTTCTTGGCACGTGGAGGTGGTAGGCCATCGGATGTCTGAATTTTGCCGACAAGGACTTCACAGTCTGGGGAAGAGAGACGTGCAGGCAGCTACTTCTAACACCAGCCAGAAGTGTTGGTGAGATGACAAAGGTACAGGAGAGTGGTGTGGGGGAGGAAGGAAACTCTTCCTGGAGGTGGAAACCTGAGCTATGTCCATGGAAGAAATGGCATTTGACCCGGGCCTTGGAGGATCATGGGAAGAAAGAGTAGGAGTGCACAAGGGTTGCCAGATTAATAGGGGAAAAGGGATGAACAAGAGGAGATGGGGAAAGCTCAGCAGATGGCAGGAAGGGAGGGGTGCGGAAGCTGCGCTAGGGCATCTAACTTGGAGATGTTAGGGAACACGGATGCTTTGGGAACAGGAGGGTGAAGGCATCATCTATGGAAGTCAGGAAAGGGTCTCTGGTGTGAGAAGAGAGGAGGGGAGGAAGACGCGAGGCCAGGAGCTGAGGTCCTGTGTGGCAATCTAGGTGACAGTTAATGACCCTCGCGGTAGCAGGAATGGAGAGGGGACAACCAAGATGTACTCCTATCCTGAGCTGGTGAGGTCAATTTTGGGGAATTTTGCCAACTGTTTGTTTAGGTAATAGTGAGGATTAAACCTAGGACCTTACACATATTAGACAAGTACCCACCAGCTATATCCCAAGTCATTATTATTATTATTATTATTGTTGTTGTTATTTTGAGACAGATATCACTAAGTTGTCCAAGCTGGCCTTGAACTGATGATTTTTCTGCTTTAACCTCCTGAATATCTAGGATTACAGGGATGTACCACCATGCATAACTGATACATATTTGTAAAGATTTATTTGTGGGGCTGGAGAGATGGCTCAGAGGTTAAGAGCATTGCCTGCTCTTCCAAAGGTCCTGAGTTCAATTCCCAGCAACCACATGGTGGCTCACAACCATCTGTAATGATATCTGGTAACCTCTTCTGGCCTACAGGCATACACACAGACAGAATATTGTATACATAATAAATAAATATTTTTTTAAAAAATATTTATTTGTGTTTTTAATGTGTATGTGTGTTTTGCCTGCATGCGTCTTGTGCGTCACAAGCAAGCACTACATTTGGAGTGCGGAAGAGGGCATCAGATCCTCTGGAACTGGAGCTACAGATGGTTGCTAGCAGCCATGTAGGTGCTGGGACTCCAAAGTGGGTCCTTAGGAAGAACAACAACAGGTGCTCTTAACCATTAGGCCACCTTTGCAGTCCCTGGTACTGATTTTTTTTTTCAAGACAGGGTCTCATTATGTAGCCCTGGCTGTCCTGGAACTAGCTCTGAAGACCAGGCTGGCCTTGAACTCATAGAGATCCACCTGCCTCAGCCTCTCAGGTGCTGAGATTAAAAACATGAGTCACCACTGCTCCATACATAGTACGCCGATGTTTTTTTTTTTTTTTAAGGACAGCTACGAAATATGTGTGTGCTCATTCATACACACACATTTTGCAAATCTGAGGCCAAATAAATTGTTCTCAAAAGAGATAGTTTCAAGAGCTGGAGAGATGGCTCAGAGGTTAAGAGCACTAGCTGTTCTTCCAGAGGTTCTGAGTTCAATTCCCAGCAACCACATGGTGGCTCACAACCATCTGTAATGATATCTGGTAACCTCTTCTGGCCTACAGGCATACACACAGACAGAATATTGTATATATAATAAATAAATAAATATTTTAAAAAAAAGAGATAGTTTCAAGCTAGGCAGCATGGCACAAACCCATAATCCTACCATGGAGGCAAATGCAGAAGGATTGCTGCAAGTTTCAAGGACTCTGTCTCAAAAATAAATAAGAAGGGAAAAGAAAGGGAAGGTAGTTTTCTAAGTACTCTTTGCTGTTTTGTATGGCTATGTTCCAGCTTTTGTATGCATAGGTTACAATGTGATGGAATACTATGTAGCCAGCAGTGCAGATCTCTTCCCAGCCCCATAGTCAGTGTCTGCCCTCCTGTTGATCGCTTGACATCAACCATGGTAAGAGAATTTACACTGAGAATCAGAGCTACTAACCAGGGATGTTTCTCATAAAGCACAGGTTGTTAAATACTTGCCAGAACACTACCTGATTAATAGACAAACTGAAGGAAAAATAGACAAAAACCAAAAAAGACTGGAGCTAGGCCAATGGCACAGGCCCACTTGGGAACCTGAGACAGGAAGATTACCAGTAGAAGCCATCTTGGGCCATGCGGTAAGTTGGGGGTTAGCTTGAGCTATACTGTAAGACATGTTGCTTAGCCCCCACACACCCACCCAAAGAACAAACGATTGGGTTAGAAAACAGTGATCTGTGGTTCTGTGTTAACTCTCCAGTAAGGAAAAGGAGCTGAAAGAAACCATATTGAAGGGGTAAAGGGGCTGGAGAGATGGCTCAGTGGCTTAGAGCACTGGCTGCTGCCCCAGAGGACCCCTCCATCTCTGGTTCTAGCAGGCACATGGTGGCTCACAGCTGTCTGTGACTCAAGTTCATGGGGATCCAAAACCCTCTTCTGACCGCAGCAAACCCAAGCATGCGGTGATATACAGATGTACATGCAGGCAAAGCGATAAGAATAAATCAATAAATAAGCATCTTAAAAAGCAAGCAAGCAAGCAAACAAGCGACTGAGATGGTGAAGCCACCAGACCAGAAGCAGCCCTTGTAAACAGAGGAATTCAGGGAACCCCTTCCCCCTCACTTTAGCTCCACTGTCTCCACCAGCTGGTGCAGCCTCAGCGTGTCCTCTCGGAGGTCTTGGTAAAGGGACTCATCCTTCATAATTAGTAAATACAGTTCCTAGGGAGAGGGTGACAGATGAGATGAAGGCACAAGTCTCATCCCAAGGACCACTCACGGCAAGGGCTGAGACAGGGCCTCCATGCCTCAAACACTCAGGAATCACACAGACCAAAGCCCACCGGCATCTTTTGCTTCCAGATACCCAACTTGAGGAGTGTGACTCCTTCGAAGAGCCCCCTTCCAGAGCTGAGAGCTAGCTCACGTGCCTTTTCCTTCCAAGGCCCACCTTGATAATGTGGCCAGCCCCTTCTTCCTCTTGCAGCAATCCTTGGTAGGTATCCAGGAAATGAAGGAGTAGAGCGAGACAGGCTTGCTTCCGGCCCAGCCCCTCTGGACCCTCCACATTCCTTGATTGAACAAAGCTGACCCCTAAGTTAAGTAAAAGTTCTGAAGAGCCAAGGAAACCAGGGAAGGCAAATTGACTCCAAATAGTCTGCACTTGGGTACCAGAGGAGAGAAGGTTTCCAGGGCCCTGGAACCAAGACTTTTCTCATTCCAGCCATGGTTTTGCTTAGAGTACAAAGAGTGAGGGCTTCAATTTGGCCACATTCAGCTCTTGTCTGTTAAAGAGGTTATTGCCAGCGCCCATCTAGTTGCCAGCCAGCTCACAAAGCTGACTTTACCTCATAGTGAGGCCTGATTATTCTAAGGGAGCCTAACGACATTCGACTCAAGGGCTTGACATGTACAATTAGGTTCTAAAGTAATTCAAAGAAGCCAGGCATGATGGTACATCCCTGTAATCCCAGCATTTAGGAGGCAGAGGCAGGAGGATTACCTGGTCTACATTAGAAGTTCCACACTGAGCCAGTAGCTCATCTCTAGCCGACCCTACCGAAGCACAACCATGACCTAATGCTGATATCAGACCCTATGTTTAGAGCAAGATCTTTTTCGTTTTCTTTTGCTTTTCAAGACAAGCTTTCTCTGTGTGGCCCCGGCTCTCCTGGAATTTACTCTGTAGACCAAGCTAGCCTCGAACTCACAAAGATCCACCTGCCTCTGCCTCCCGAATACTGAGATTAAAGGTGCACGCCACCACCATCCCGCTTGGCCCTTACACTTGTACAGGTGTCTCCTGAGCACTCCCAGAGCTGCGACAAGGCTGATCCTCACAGCAGCCCAGAGCAGAGCGTCTCCTGCTGTGTATCTCCATCCTACTGACTGAAGCAAACCCAATCGCCAGGATGTGGAGCGAGCTGCCCAAGGCTCATGAGACGAAAAGCTGGTTGTGTCTTCTATGGGAGAGCTTGGGTTGGGTTGTAGTTTGTGGGCAGGAATGACTCCCTCCTGGTCTGCCCTTTTATAAGCTCCATAAAAGGATATTACTGGTGCAACTCTTGCAGAAACTTTTCTGTTGGCAGGAAGAGCGAATGGGTGAGGACAATGTCATCAAGCAGAATATCTGTGGAGATCAGCGAGCATCGCAGATGTCAGGTGGGAGCTTCTAGAACCGTCTGGAAACTCTGCACCCTCATTTCTTGCCGCCTTAGCAAGGCTGGAGCCCCGGCCACCTGCCCTGTCATGCTCTGCACACGCGCGCACACACATGTGTGAGGGTTCTGGGCAGCCGCTGCGGGGGTGGGGCTGGCAGCTGCCAAGGCAGCTGGAGGGGGAGAGGGGGTGCCTTTGAAGGCCACGCACACTTCTCTTCAGTGTGTGGGAAGTTGGTCAGATAATACACCATGCCTGAGATCTGCTAGGAAAAAAAAAGGAGTCCACAGAAGTGACCCTAAACAGAGAACTGGCAGACATAGAGGTTACAGTCAGAGGGATGGAGGCGTGTGGGGTATGTGTCCATCCTCCCCTCACCACTCATCCCCTCAGAGTTGTGACAGGGAAGGTGGGGACAGCCCCATTAAAATTAGGAGAGGAGACAGACTGCCACCTCTTCTTCTCAGTTCCTTAAATAGAGCCCCTGTGTCCTCTGGGTGCCCAGAGGTAGAAGGGTTAATGATGAAGAGGAGAGGGGAGGGGCTCCTCTCTCCACTCCTCTTCCTCCACACCCATCTGGGCCTGGCTCAGCCAGTCAACCAGGTACAAGGTCGCCCTGACTTGCAGCCAGCCTTGGGGTGGGGCAGGGCTGTTTGGCACACACAGACAGGCAGGGCACAGGGTGGGAGCCAGGTGTCCTCACCAGGACAGGTTAGGGCCAGGTCCCCAGGCACTACTCCAGGGCTCCTGACAACCCTTGATTGTCGTGCCCTGCTGCCAGTGCCAGTCATGAAGGCAGAGGTGGGGAGGCAACATACGATTGCCTACTTGAGTCTTTCTTGTTTCACAGATGAGAAAGCGGAGGCTCAGAGCTAGGAGGCACTTGCCCCAAGTTAGAAAAAGAACCTGGACGGCAGAGTCTCTGTTTTTCCCTCAATATTAGAGGCGAGCTGAGTGTCAGGGTAGACTCTAGGGGCCACAAGGGGCTGCCTAGACTTCTGAGGGCTCTGGCTAGGTATGGAGAGCCCTCAATAAGCAGTTTTCTCCTCCCACACAGCCTGGGAGGAAACCAAATGGCTTGAGAAAGTGGCTTATATTAGAGATATTGGAGAGGCAGGTTAAGCTGGTAGGTTTCCCAAACCAGTTTCTCTGGGGATTCAGCCTGCCAAGCCAGATACTATGGGTGACAATTCGGGAGTCTCAGCTCAGGGGACACTGAACAATCTGTGGCACCATGCCCCTGCAGAAGAGGAAAGCCAGCCTCTCTTTCCCTCTGCCCAGCTGCCCTGCTATGTTCTGAAAGTAAGAGAGATGCTCTCCTGGCCCTCACACCTAGTCCAGGGATGCAGACAAGGCGTAAGGAGGCCTGACGTCCTTCTGAGCATCTTTATCTCCCTGGAGTGCGAATGCTGAAAACCAGAGTAAAGGAAAAGGAACACGGGCAGCGTGGGGGAGATGCTGATACGGGGGCTACAGTTTGGCATCTGTTCCTTCCAAAGCAGGCTCTGGTCCAATGCACAGCCTCCCTGGGGAATGTGTCATAGAGACACAGGGTGCGTGGTGTAGGTGGGAAGTTATGGTTAAGAGAGCTGTGTGTGTGTCTGATATTTTTCTAATTAAATCCAAAAGGTGTCAGCTCCCCAGGGCAACTGCAGCCCAAGCTGAAAGAGAGGACCCAGACCTTCAGGAAAAGAAAGAGAGGAAGGAAGAGGGGGAGTGACATCTACTGTTAAAGCCAGAGCACTCTGCAGAGGGTGAGGAGTACCACACATGACCCTCATCTTTCCGGGTTCAACTTTGGGCTCCCAAACCTAGACCTTTCTGGGCTCCGTGGAGTGCCTACTTAGATCTAAAACCCCTGATGTCTTCTGCCTCAGTTCTAAGCAGTAATGTGCGGGTCTCGTAAGCCCTTTAATAGGGTGCTGGTGGGGAGGGGGAAGTGGCATCATCGTTTAGGGAATAAGCCTCTCAGGGTGTGGTTATTATTTTTTAAAGCCTTACGCTGAGGCATGACATAGGGAGGGTGGGAGCCACTGAGGCCCAGATCCTTCTGGATGCTGCAGTCTCCTGGTGCCTTCCCTTAGAGATGTTCAAATGCACCCCCAAGGAGGACACTTTCCCTAAAGGCAGCCAGACCCTGTGCCTATCCACACTGCCCCCACCAAGTGAGCCAGCTTGTGCCCTGGGGGCTTCTATACAGCCAGAGACTCTCGCCATGGCTTTCAAGCTTTGGATACGGTCTATAGGGTGGCATAACCTCAGCTGGAAAGCGTCCATCTTAGGGTGTCAGCCCCTAATTTGGGGGCATGGGAGGAGGTAGGCAGTATTTCAAGGGCCACCGGAGACTGGCTTAAATGTTCAAGGAAGAGGGAGGGGGCTGAAGGAGAGGAGAGGATGGTTGGCTTTCTCGCCGAGGGTGAGGCTCATGTTAGGAAAAAGGAGGATGGGCACTAACATGCCCTTTCCCCTATACTACTGCAGGGTTTCCCTCAGGCCCTACACTGCTGCTAAGGACAAGAAAAGAAACCAGGGCATCCCCTTTCTCAGGGAGGGATGAGCAGGCTTACCTGAAGCGCCGCTGTCCCTGGTAGTCCCTCCAGCCAGGCGCTCCAGAACCCGGTTCAGAAGATGCTCTGGCCGCTCGGGGGCGCCCAGGGGGGCCCAGGGAGGTGAAGCCAGGGGCTCGCCCGGGGATAGCTCATCTGAGGAGTACGAGGAAGGGGAGCGCAGAGGCACCCCGCACCCCAGCGGCCCGGGCCCCGGCACCTCCTCTAGCTGCAGCCAACAGGGACCCCCGCTGCCCGGCTCCTCCGAGACCCCTAATGGCTCTCCCCCTTCCTCCTCAGCGGGCGGCTCCAGCCCGGACTCGGCTGAGGGCTCTCGGAGGAAAGCTGGGAGCAGCAGGCGAGACACGCTCTGACGCCGCTGCAGCGGCCGCGGTCCCCCCGCCGGACCGCTGCTCCCGCCAGGGCCCCCACCCCCTCCAGGCCCTCCACAGCAACCCGGACCCCCGCCGGGACCTCCTGCCACCGCTCGCCCCGCCAGCTGCGACGTCTGCTTCTTCAAAAATTTCTCCAGTGGCTTCATGCCCCCCCCCGCCCCTCTCCTAGGGGCCGCCGGGGGACCCAGGTGTCCCAGGCGCGGGCGGGGGGGGGCGGGGACACGATGCTCAGAGCCGGAGGAGCAGAGCCGAGGGCCGTGCCAGGCGCCGGACTGCGAGCCAGAGGTGGCCGAGGCTCGCTGGCCAAAGTCCAGTGGCCAGTGGCCGGGGGAGGTGCCAGAGGGAAGAGGAGCACGCTCTCAGCGACCCCCCATGCTGGCCGCGGCCGAAGGGCGGGCAGGCGGAGGGGCCGGTGTCCCCGGCTCAGCGCTCCGGGGCCGGGCTGAGGCGGCAGAGGCAGCGGGCGGAGCGCAAGGCAGAGGACGCGGCGGCGGCTGCGCTCCTGGCCCCGGGGAAGGTGGCAGAATTGAGACCGCGCCCCCTCATCCAGTCCCCGCCCCTACCCTGCCAAGGCCCGCCCCCATCCGGCCGCGCGAGGCTTGAACTTGGGCGCTGGTGCTGACCGCGAGGACTTGGCGTCTGACAGTCGCAGAAACTAAGGGCAAAGGTAAGGGAGGGTTTTTATCAATGAAGAGACCCCTAGTTCTTCATTACCTGGTCTCTTAACGATCATTTCAAATAACCAGGGCAGATCTTTGACCTACACCTTGACGCGCTCACCTATACACAGGTGAGGCTGAACTCATTGCATCTTTCCCACAATTATGTGGTCTTTATCTCCCACCTGTGAGAAGGGCTGGGCCCGCGTCTTGGGTGAACTGGCTTTGGCACTGGGGGCGGAACCCACATCCTTCTCTGATAGGGTGTAGTAAGTGGTGCAGGGCGGCCCTGGGAGGCAGGTACCGGCAGGTAGGAAAGAGCCAGGCAGAGACCAGCAGGTTGTGGCAGGTCTAATTGGGGTGAAAAGAAGATAGTAGGCAGTAAGAGGAGACCGAGAGCACGAGGGCACCTTAGCCCCGGTGAAAGCAAAAGGAAGCAAGACCGAAGGGATGGGTGGTAAGTCCCTAAACTGCTCACTATTGTTACCAAGCACTTAAAGTTCAGTGTATTAGCCATGGAACGGGAGAAATGTTGCCCTTACCCCTCATGGCCATGCCAGAACATTCTGTTGCCAAGGGTATACTGCCCTTGGAAGACGAGGCTGCCGAGACAGTGTGAACACATCCAGGCTAGGTACAGTGAGGGAGTGGTACCAGGTTCCTGGTGGGGTGGGGCTCCTCGGACAATGCCCCAACCCTGTTTACTATGCACCAGTCAGGCACGGATGGACAGGAATGCGTATAGCTGGGAGTGGTGCATCTGACAGGGTGTGCACTGCGCTTGTGTTGCTGTCTGTGCACCCCCAGTTCCATGTGTGCTAGAGCATGTGTTCACAGAAATAAAGCTCTGCACACCCATCTGTGGATCTGGAGAGGGAACAAAAAGAAAAAGACAGCTCTGATTTTCACTAAGAAGCTAGGTCTGACTGTTGGCTTTCTGGGCTCCCGTCACTGGACACTCAGTATCTAAGGTTGAAAGTATAAACTGGCTAGAAGGGCTTGAAACTCCCCAGGTAACCTTTTAGGATCCAAGTAAGAAGAGGGGAGGGCTTCTCTTCTGCACATGCCACAGTACCAGATTAAGCAGTTGCCTTGGTAACCTCCTCTCTGGGCAGGATTTGGGATTGTCGGTTAGGAAGGGTAAAAAATTGGGGAGTGTAAAGCGTGTGGGGGCTGGAAATAAAGGGGACTAAGAGACTTCTAGAAACTAAAGGCTTGGTTTCCAGACCCTTCTGTTCAAGACCTTCAATCAGAAGAAAAGGAGGCATTAAAGCTGTGGTCCTCCCAGAACATCAGTGGTTTCCACCCTGGCTACACACTGGAACCACAGAGGAACTTTTCAGAATTGCTGTTGCCTGGGTCACACCATAGATCAATTATGAGATCCTTTCAGGCAGACCCAAGGCATCTGTTAGCTTAGAGAACTCCCCAGTTGATTCAACTAGCCAGCGTTGAAAAATCACTGTTCTAGGTCAGCCCTAGTAGGCTGCGTCAGATGAACTGGCGATTGCCAAACCCTTGTGTTTTGAGTCACCTACAAGGTAGGCCCATGAACTGACCCCCCAGGGTGGGGGTAGGGATAGGGCATCTGTATTACCCTGAGAGAAACGCAGAGGAAGGTAGGGTAGTATACAATTACTTAACTGAGGAAATGGAGGCCGACAAGCTTAACTGAGCCTGACCAACCCATGAGCTTCTAAAAAAGGCATTGGACAGGGCTGCCCAAGGCAGTAATGTATCTGCCCCTTAAACTCCCATTACTTCTGCCTACGGAGAGGCAGGGAGAACCTGAGGGCTTTGCTGAGCTTGGGTTTCTTCTTGCTGAGCTGGTTACCAGGGCAACAGAGAGAGCAATGGGATCTAACCAGAGGACTGGGGAAGAGGCAGGGGCGAGGAGGAAGCATCCTAACATTCCTTTTTCCTGCCAGTAACCCACCCCCAAGGTTGGTTGGCATTTTTTGTGAGACAGGAATACAGTTACCCATCACTTGTGAGAAAGAAGACCAGGTATATAGTTACCCATCACCTGTGAGGCAGAGGGAAGATGTCCCAGTGACACCCACACCACCAATGGAAAGCTTTGTGGAATGAAGAACGTTTCCAGCCCCACAGTATCCAAATGCTCTTCCATATCAGGGTCACCTTTGTAAATGTCCATCCAAGGAAAGTTAATTCAAAACTGGTAATTTCTCTGTGTGTTCCAGTCTCAAATGAAAGGCAGCCTGAACTAGCTAGTCTTTGTTTTTCTTGTCTTTATCAGTACTAAGACTGGTAGCTGTCCTTCAGACTGTGGGCCTTGTACCACCCCCAACTCCCACCAAGAGACAGGGCTTCTCTGTGTACACCTGGCTTGAACTCACAGAGATCCACTTGCCTCTGCCTCCCGAGTGCTGGGATTAAAGACAAGCACCGCTATGTCCAGCTGTGGATAGTTACCTTTCTTGGAAAGTAAAGATAGCACTAAAAACCAGTCATAGTGACCCACACTTTAAATCCTGCTCTCAGGAGGCAGAGGCTGGTGGATCTCTGTTGAGTTCTAAGCCAGTCAGGAT